GTATCCCTAAATGTATAGATTTGATGGACAAGATGAATCTAGCTTTAGATGGTTTCTCTAAAGTAGATGGCATAAAACACTAAGCAGCTGTAATTTCTTGCTGTGTGATAACCGAGTTTAAAGATGATGCATCAGTACAAATCCCTCTATTATTTGGTTTTAAAAAATAGCCTGTTACTTTACATGTTGACACTAAAGAGGGGAGGATGCAGGAAAAGGAAGCCGCTGAGACCTTGACTGTGCAGCTCTGCACTGTGTTTGAAGGCCTGCAGTGTGTGCTGTGCTGCTGGCCGGCTCTCTCCAGGAGGTGGGGGTCTTTGGCTTCTCTTTGGCTGACAGGAGACGGGACAGGGAGCGGTGGGGGGTTCACTTTGGCTGACATGTAACAGTGTTGAAGCGACAAGATAAAGATAGAGGAGGGACTCCAGAGGCTCGGAGCGACGTCTCCTTTTATGTCCAAGAAGCAAAGCTGATTTGTCTTGTTTCGATCAGGCGGAGAGACAAAGGAAGACTGAGCTGGGGCTCGGCTCAAAACAACAGGACTAGAAATGCAGAAGGTATGCAGTGATGCTGGACTTGTACGTGCCTACGCAGCATGCAGACTTACTCTCCAAACACACCGGCTCTGTGCCATTTGGAGAAGGACTGAAACCAGGCCTCGGTCAGCTCGTCTGCTGTTTACCAAACAAACACACAAACACGCCAAGGCTGAACAACATGCCACAACACGTCACTGCATGCCCCAACACTTACCTGGGGCCTCCGCTGAGCAGCTCGTCCCCAACAACAACCAGCTCAGGAGCTTCTATTGTGTGAGCTCCACTTATTCTCTTCTACAGAGAGTTTGATTAAACGTGTGGCTGCAACATTAGCTCAGGAAACTCAATAACTATAGAAACTAAGCAAAGCTTTTTGGCTCTAGTATATGCTGGCAGTCTGAATTGTTGGAACCTTTGCTTTCACTCCTTGTGCCACTACTGTTTGCTACCAGTATGATGTGGGTTTGTTTATGTGAAAACAGGAGGTCATGTGATCAGTGGAAATGGAAGCTGCCTGTGTTTACACAAAACACTACAGACCTTAAACACTTTACAGCAGAGCTGCCTCTAAATTCCTCTGTCTTGTATCATTTCTAACAACTATTGCCAAAACTAAGAGGACTACTAATTAAACTAGCTCTAACGAGAATTTAGGATTGATGTATTAGGATTTGCTTTGGAAAAACAGAAAACTTTGCTCCAGCACAAAATAATGGCTCTCACGGTTCTGAACAAAAGCTTACATGCACTTGTAAAGAGCATGTAGAAGGTTGTGTTCATCAGTTTTTCACCTCTTATGAGTATTTACGACTGACTACAGCTGCTGCTGCTCTGAGCCCATTTCAACAGGATCCATCTGATCCACTTATTGAACTCAGGTAGAAACGCTTCAGTGGGAAGATGCTAGAAGCTCAGCATTGATCTGAAAAAGCAAATAACTGACTTGAACAAGTCAGGAGCATCACTTGGAACCATTTTAAATCAGCTACAGATCCTAAATTCATAGTTGTAAGTATAAAGTTTATGATACAGCTGTGTTACTGCCGTGATCAGGAAGAAAACACAAACTATCACCTGCTGCTGAGACACAATGAACCAGGAATCACCAGAAAGCAGGTCTGCAATAAAAGAGAAGCTGCTGGAACACAGCTGTCAGTGTCCACAGTGTTTTACATCAACGTGGGCTGAGAGGCTCCATGAAGAAGGAAGTTCATCATCTAGAAACAACACGCTAAAGCTCAAGCTCTGCATGGACAAAGAAAAGGTCTTCTGGAGGAAAGTTCTGTGGTCAGATGAAACAGAAACTGAGTGTTTTGGCCACAATGAGCAGAAATATGTTTGGAGGAGAGAAGCTGAGGCCTTTAACCTCAATAACATCAAACCTACGACCAAGCATGGAGGTGGCAGCATCATGCTCTGGTTCTGTTCTGCTGCCAGTGGACCTGGAGCTGAATTATGAAGAAGAAGGATTATCTCCACATTCTTCAGAACAAAACAACAATCATCAGCCAAAATGCAGGATTGTTTGACATGTGTTTCAATAATCCCATCAAAACTACAAGTTGTAGGATTCACAAGAAACTCAACACTGCCACGATACACATGCTCTGTACTAGTGTACGAGTAAACTTTTGTCCATGACTGTAAAGTTCACTGACAGAGAACCAGGGAGCAAGTTCAACTTCTGAATGTGACTGACCGCCTGACTTTTGTTTCCTGTCTGATCCGTCATGATCTGGTGTGAATAAATTGAATTAGATTAATTGAAGTATGAAGCACCACACGCTCTAATCCCCCCTAAGAGGAGAATCTTACAATGTATTTTATATTTTAAACCACACATCTACTTATCCACAGTTTCTTTAAAGTCTTAACGTGCCAAATAAAGTCGACCTTCTGCTTGTTCAGTGAGGATGCGAGCTGTCGATCAGCGAAGCCCCAAACTCTGGCAGACTGGGTCGGTGTGTGTTTGAACTCTGCAAACACACACGCATGCAGTCAAACCCAGCCACACTTACATCAGTAATGGCGTTCAGAGCTGTGTCTGAGCCAATGCTGAGGTCTGAGCCGGGTATGTTATTGGAGACGGTGGCGGGGACCATAACCATGGGCACACAGAACTCAGTGTATTTGTCCCGTGCAGCAGAAAGTTCCAGTAATCCCACGTAGGCCTGCAGCAGTGAGAGCCAGCGTCTTATTGGTGGTTATTGAGCAGGTCGACACAAATGGGAGAGAAGTGAGGAGGCCTGATGCTGAGGTCTCTTCAGAAACAGTGGGCAGGAGGACAAAGGGCTGCTTTTGGGAGGAAACATGGTGGGAAGAACTTGAGGCTTTTAGGGGGGGAGCAAAGCTGTGTCCAAACTCCAGACTACATACTATCAGTATGATTATCTGCTATGTTGCACCAAATTAATACAAGCTATTTTGCAGTTGGTATACAAGAAATTAATGCTGTCAAAGTTGCGCTAGTTGATTTTTTGGGGCGAGAACACTCATCCACCAAGCACGGAGCATTTCTAATGTCCAGCTGGGGTCATGCTTTACCCATGTGATGAATGTATATCAGATATTTACCTTTATTTTAGATATTTATTCTCCACTAACTCTTGAGAAAGATGCTCTTCAGCTGCAAGATGTCTTTTTTAGTACAAACAGACTAAAAACTGTAAATCCAACCAGAACTCTGATGTATGTAGCCTGAAATGTGAACACATATCAAAGAGGCTTTGAGGTAAAGTTGGGCCTGTTGATGGGAGATGGACCTTCAGATTAATGCGGGGGAGGGTAATCAGAGGCAGCAATGGGACGGACAAAGGACTGGGAGGAGAGTTTTGTCAGGAGAAGCCAAGGGAGAGAGCCAGGCCAATCAGGACGGACAGTGAGACACAAAGTCGATGTTGTGGCTCCACACACAAGAAGATGGAGACAATGTTCATCTTTATAACCAAGCTGCCAAAGCCACAAAACTACATTTCTTTTAGGTATTTATCATTTTGAAATTGTATTTTCCAGTTTTATTTTATGCATTGAATGGGAAAAGTCACATTTTCTTACTAACTTGACCTGTTTGTGTAACCGGGGACCTTCAAAATAAAACACCATCTTAACATCTACCTCGCTCTAAAGCCAAATGTTAAATCCATCTTTTGGTTAAGTTCATCTTTCTGATTATTATCCAGTTTTTACACTGTTTGGCTTTGCAGCTTGGTCAGTAATAAATCCCACATATGCACAGACAGGGAGAGAGCCTAAACATTCACATGTGTCCTATTGTGTTGTCAAAATGTAGTAATAAAGATGTTAAGAAATGTTCTGCAAGTTGAAATGTCAAATAGGGAAAAATCGGTGGAAAACAATGTGGATATGAACAATATAATACACGGGGAAAGAGATGGAGATACAGCATTCTTATAAATAGTACAATAAATTACTTATATTTTTTCAGATCACTCAAAAATTCCACTTTTTTACATCTATCAGGAGCTTTTTACTATGAAACAATGACAGAATAAGGTTGAGCTGGTTCAAGACTTTTCAATGAAAGAGATAAAACATGTTAAAGATAAAATATTGTGGAATTAAAATAGAAAACTGACACTGTTTCTAATAACCAAGCGAAGGTACGTACCTCAAACCCTCCGATCACCAGCAGAGCATTGATGTTGTGGATCCGGATCTGCTCAGCAATTTTTTCCAGATGTTTTCCTGGAAGAGTTCTAACACAAGAAAAGACCATAACTGTTCAATATTCCACTTATTTGATTTTACTGCACATCTGCTTCATTCATAAGTGACTAAAGGTCAAGGTTTTGTCATTCATCACTGCTTTGTTGGTTTTTAGAGACAGAAGTCATGATGCTAAAGCAAAAAAACAAAAAAAAGGGATAAAGTTGATCCAAATGTCACACAGGATTCAAGTCACTAACAAAATACACATTTATTGTTTTGTATCTTCAAGTTCAACATCTACCGACCTTTTTGTCCCGAGCAGAGATCCTCCCTGACCGGTCCAACCACCAACGTCTCCCCATTTGATCTCCTTAATCTGACACGAGAGAAAAAAGGCTTTTTTATTATTTAGACTTCCCTAAAATCTGTCTAAAACCACTTTCTTCACTTTTAGGCAACCTGATAAATAGAAGAGGAAACTCCCTGTGAATCATTTTCATGGTCATTTAAAAGTGTTCAGTGAAGGGACTGAAATTTTCTTAAAGCTTTGGGTTCAACTAATGAAGAGCTCATTTGCAAAAACAAAAAACTCAATTTTTGTAGATTGTCAGGAAACTTATTTTTTTGTTGTTTGCTTGAGATCATATCAATCAAACTGAAGCTGAGTGGATTTGACTCAGTAGAAATGACAAGAACAGAGATAACTAAAGCTTGATCGATATTGTGTCATGTAGAGGATGGAGAAGTGGGTTTTTTGAAGGTTTGTGAAGGTGGAGTTATCTGTTTTTGCAAATGAACTGTTCAAATACAATTAAATTTGTCTTTATTGTATCAAGGTGGCATCTGTCATTCGTCTGCTCTCCCCTAACCCTAACCCTTTACTGTCTCTCTGCGCTGCATAATCGGAATAATAGCAAAAAAGGCCAAAAACTCATCTTAAAATGGTGGAAAAACTCAAGGAATGTGTCAGAAAACAGGTTCATACAAAGCACCACAACCATACCAATATTATATGAACAAGTTCTGCTTTTCCCCGTTACCTAGCAGCCATCGTCGTGCCACTGTGCTGCCGCTGGGCCTCCATTTGTCTTGCAGCGCTTCATTATAATCAGTGTCCTACTTAGTTGGGGCTTTGGTTCGGGATCACGGCTTCACTTTTCAATCATGTCTAATCCTTGTACATGACAACTCGCCTTCAGAGCTTCATCTCCCTCAACAGGTCGCTGCTACTCTCTGAGAGGAGTCTCCATGGAAGACCGGTGTGATATCAGCAGATGTAGGACCAGCGAGAGAAAATATAAATATACTTGTTGTAGTAGCTGCTGTGGGACCGGAGTAATTGGCTTACAGTAAGCAGCAGCGTTTATCTGGACACACTTAGTCTTATCAGTGCAGCAGAATGAGAGGAGAGCGCCTGCAGTAAAGTCACTATGACCGATGAGGAATGCTTTCAGGACATGTTCACTCCTCACAACAGCTCGTAGATTTAGTTTATAGCTGTGTCCATGTGCTGAACACTGACAGCTAATAAACACTATTTGTGACACAAAGAGTGAAGAAAACAAACGGCTGACATGAGCATAAAGGATCCACGAGTGTTTCATGACTGTTCCATAAGGCTGAGCAATAACAATAAGATATTAATTAAAAACTATTATTTAAAAACTATTAAAAGTCATAAATAAGAACAAGGAGTAGAGCTTGTGAAGTTAAAATGCACTGTGCAAGAGGTGCAGTCGTATGCTTTATGAATCCGTAATGTTTCTGTCAGCTGAATGATCGTCTTTCTGCACCTACATTCTCACAATATTTGTACAGAAACAAGATCAGAACAGTACGGATATAATTACTTTGGGTTTTTGTGCCACATTTAGCAAAACCTTTGAATTTATCTGCAAAGAAACTCTAAGATGCATGTTGATATTTTTGAGCTTATTTATCCCGATAAATAAATAAATGCAACAGGTTGGAAGCAATCCCTATTAACAAGAGTCATGTGAATGTAAAAGAGTGCAAAAACAGCTTTTAGAACATGTGACAAACATGCAACACACGGCATGTTTCCAGTTTCAGGTGTACAGTAGACTGAGAGTATTTATACTGTTTGAATAGTAATTTAATTAAAAATTACGTTTTTCTAAAAGAGTTTGAGCTGTAGGCCATAGCTATCAGACTTAAAAGAGAAGATGCTTGAAACATTTCGCTTTAAGTGTAATGAGTCTAGAACATATTACATTTCCCCTTTCTTTTTCACAAATTCTTTTTTTATGCATCTGAACAAATAAACTGCTCTAAAATACAAGATCTACTCAGTAAGACCTCCAAGTGAATGTTCACACTTACAGAAAACCTGTAGAGAATTTGTATTCAGCTTATCTGTCCTGTGAGTGCCTCATAAATGTTCACTTCTTCTTTGTTTAAATAATTAATTCTTTGACTAAACCATAGCTTGTCGAGTTTAGTCTGAAATTCTTGTTCAGCTGCAAAGACACTAAACACACTTGTTTACATTACACTAAATCATTTAGTCTGAAGATACAAACTTCTTATCACAGGTAATAAACTGTCCAGTGTAGGCTTTAAAGTCATTTAAAAATTGTCAGTTTTATGAAGTTCCCACATAATTAACCTTTTCATTCTTTTTCACAGTATTCTAATTTTTTGAGATGCACCTGAACAAATAAGCTGTGACGGAATCGAGTCAGATCTCAACTAAATGTTCAAACCAGAAACCGACGGAGAATGTGTATCAGCTCACCTGTCCTTTGTAGAATCCCTCAAAGCCATCGCTGACAGCAAACATTTTGTGGCCTTCGGCGATTCCCACTCTGACAGCAGAGCGCACCGCGGCGTTCATGCCTGCTGCCGGGGCGCCGACATTCAGCACTGCCACATTAAAGGAGCTCTGTGGATGACGGAGGGCGGCAGTGATGCTTAGAAACACTCTAAATATACAGACAAAACCTTTAACATATACAGTCCAGCCATATGTTATAACACCCCCAAGCTTGTTCACGTTGTGTAACATCTCCACACTTTCTGCACGAGTACAAACACAACATGTGGTTTGAGGAAGATGTTGTATCAAAGACTTTCAGAGGCAATGACCCAGTAAATCCTGCAGCATGAGGCAAACTGGACAAACAGCTCTACATCTGCTGCCTCACAACACCACCCATGTCTCTTTATCGCCAGGCCAGACTTTGGCTCACAAGCATGCAAGAAGCCACATGCTGCTGAAGAAGATGCAGAGAAGCAGCAGCTGCTTTCAGAGGACAGCCACCAAAAATATCAACTGTCAAGTGAATATTTTCAGACTTTTTGGCAGCATCACTCAGTCGATGCACAACTGGTGAACAGCAGTTTTCAACTCCAGCTCCAGCGAAAGCAATAATTCAAATGAAGCCCATGCGTTTGTATCTCTGTGGTGCACGTTTGAATGCAAGACACTTCAAATCAAGCACAGAGATTCTACCAGCAGAGCCACCAACGTGCTGTGCACCAATGAGGGATCGAGCCTTTAAACTTCATCTCTGCACACAAACAAGAAGCTCAAAGTGGACAGACATCCAACTCTCTGCTGAGGATGAACTGCTTCAGACAGAAGCTCACAGGCTTTGCTTTGCTTTCCAAGTACAGCGAGTACATTAGAGAAATGTTAAATATATAAACTGGAATTTATTCATACGTTTAGGTGTTGAGCCTCCAAACTGTCAGGTATGGTGACACAATTATGTCTAAAATTTCAAATCTGCATCAAAAGGAGACTTTCAGTAATCTTCATTGTAAGTCAGTGAATCTCCAAGAGGCAGAATGTCAGTTAAATTGTAGACAAAATGCTTCACTGCTTATCAATACACAATACAATTCACAGATGTTCCCTAAACACCTCATCTGCAGACTAGAAGCTAGCTGGGCGGCTGTGCACAGAGACGCTTCTAGTCTCCACTCAGTTAAGTGCAGAGATTTGTTTTGTTTTTTTTATCTGTTATTTTAAATTTTATATGTACATGGACTGTTTTTTCTTTTTATGAGTGAAGCATTTTAAACATCAGTATTGTAGATATCATGTTGATTTCACTGTGGGAACCAAAATCGACGTCATTTCAAACATCTGTGCAGCCGTCAGGCACCAAAAGCTGGCTGTGAATGTTCTTTATATTTTAAAATTTGGTTTACCTTCTTTTGATAAAACAATTTCCCAACTAAGCCATAGCTTTTTGAACATCTGCTTTTCAATACGCAATAGAATTTACAGATGTTCCCTAAACGCCTCACCTGCAGACTACAGTCGAGCAGCGAGGCGGCCGAGCACAGAGAAGCTTCTGGTTACAGATGTGGCACCAAATATTATTCTAAAAAGAGTGAAATACGGCACTTTAACGTGAGACACACTCAGAATGTTATGTTTTTTTTATGAGTGAAGCATTTTAAAAATCATCATTGCAGTTGAACAAGTTCATTTAATTGTGGAAAGCCAAATTAGTCATATGGTTTATTTTACTTTGTTTGCTTCTTTTTGATGAAATAATTCTTCAACTAAACATTAGCTTGTTAAATTCAGACTATAATTCTTGTTTGGCTGCCCGTGCACAGACACTATACAGTGTTTAGATTTCACAAAATAATTCACTATAGATAAAAAAATAATAATTTCCTATCACTGGTAATAAACTATAGTATGAGCTTTCTTGTCATTAAAAAAAATTACCAGTTTCATCCAGCTCCAGGATTGTACGACACGGCCCGACATCTAATTCTTTAGCTGTTTGCACAGAGCGAATTTGCAGTTTTTCCATCATCTGTAACATGCAGTACATTAACAGCAGCTATAATGTAAGAGAGAATACTTAAAACCTCCCCACATGAAAGCTTCAACTGTTTTGACCATTGGAGCATGAAGTCTGTCCAGTTTGAGTTCTGATCGAGCAAAGACACGTTCAGCCACGACGTGGACACTAAACTGTGAAGAGGCTGCTTCATGTGACGCCTGCACTGTCACACTAATGCACCTCTTTGCACATCTTCTACTTCAAAGCAGAACCATGAAGAAATAAAGCAAAACCAGACGGAGCAACAGGTGATGAGCACTGACATTGTCATTTTGTGGCACTGAGTTACCATATAAACATGTGCAGCCCGAAATTTAGTCTCTTATATTAAAAAAAAAAAACCTAAAACACAAGTCCTTGCAAATTATTCGACTAGATTAAAAGCAGGAAATTAAAATCTACACGTATTTTTGTGTTTTCTAATTTTATCTCAACATGGAGGGAATTAGAAGTCGAAGGGAAGAAGAGAGAGGATCATCAAAAATGTCTAAACTAGTTTCTAAAAAGCTCGTCATGTGAACTACAGCAGAAGCTGAGCTACAGCCGCCTCATTACTCATCACATACATTAAACTGCTCTTCATCCCCAGCCTCCTCCTCTCCCTCAGGACACACAGTTACAGAAAAAATACAAAAACAGACTCTGTTAGTGTCACAAAAAGACTGCAGCACCCACAATGCACCAGCTGACCAGGAGGTACCTTATGCTAATGTACAAATCTCAGAGCAGCTGGTGAAAAAACACATTAGAAGAATTAAAATGGTGATCATGGTACTGGCTTGAGTTTATTTCTGTGGGTTTTTGTTTGCTTGCAGTGACACTTACATTTGGAAGCTCAGAATCGGCTTTGCGGTAGGAGAGCAGTCTGTAGGTAATCAGGTTGTTTTCAAAGCTCCTGCACACGAAAAGCAGAATTAATCAGTGCAGGAAATCCAGAACAAACCCCTGTTTGGTGTGCTGCAGAGAAAGCACTTAAAGCAAATCAATGCAAACACAGTTAAAGTGGAAACAGGGCCAAACAACCAGGAGAAAAAGTAGCATCTGCAGCCAGTAAGGACCCAGTCCTGCCTGCTCTATCTATACATTTATGTATTCATTTAAACATATTTACAGGCAAACAGGTTGCATAAATGCTGCACAGATTGCAAAGCTGTTTAATTAAAGTGATGGAGTTTTACAAATACCTGCCGCGCAGTCTGACCGCCTCCTCAAATTTCTTCTCGTCCATGGCCTTCTGGACTTCTTGGGTCTGACAACAAAACAACAAACAGCTTCTTCACCAAACATGTCACGTGTTCACTTCTTTCTGTTGTGCCTTTTTGTGTATTTCTGCTTTTTAACTGTCTTGCAGGAAAGCTGTGGGTGGAGTTTTGCTAAACTAGGAGCACTTGAGTCCAATGATCCCAATCACATACTTTCTTTTCTCCATACGTACTGCAGCTGCCCATATAGAGCACATGTTCAGTGCAGCATGCATGAAATCGAGACACAATACACATGAACACCTTCTGCATGATTTGATTTACAAGTCAGCTTGTTTTGGAAACGTTTCAGTGTCACAGCAACAGAACATTGAGTGTTGAGGTTCAGTTCTGGTGTCAGTTTGCTTCAGAAACATACGTTTTAGATAACTGAAGTGATTAATCCTGTTTGCAGTCTCTACATGTCTTCTGTCTCTGCAGCACAAACACTCACCATCTGAACACACTCCATCAGCGGTAGTCGAACAGCCTGGTTGCCAACCAGAGACACGACGCAGGCCGGGGTGTTGGCAGACGCCTCCAGCAAGGCCAGCACTGCCTCCACGCCCATACGACTGGCCTGCAGAGGTCACAGTTCATTTAAAGCACATCACTGGAGACTCACAGATGGAAACCCGAATGCTGCGACTGATGGTGACTCACCAGGATTCTGTCAAAGGCGGAGGGCGTCCCTCCTCTCTGCACGTGGCCAAGGATGGTGACCCTGGTGTCGAAGCCCAGGCGGCGCACCACCAGCTTTAGGTTGGAGAGGAAGAGAGCGTTTATTACCAGCAGGGACAGAGTGAACATGTACACGATAATGTCTTTAACATCTAGGAACTTTCACATCTGAACACATTTCACTGCGGCGTCACTCCATCTTCCATCATCACAAACAATTTCTGTTTGAACATTTCTGATTTGCCTGAAATTTTATAGCAGAATTATAGACATTTATACAGACATTCGTTGAATTTTAGCTGAAATAACATCAGATATTTTCAAAGATGTATATATTTGTTTAACTGAACATGGACCCACTTTAAGCACATTGAAATCTGAGGCAGTTTGAACAACATCTCAGAAACTACTAAAGATAAAACTCTCATAAAATTCTCAACTCACCTATAATCAGGTTTGATCTGCTTGTTCACATTTTAAATCAATGCTATGATGAGACATGACAGTGCATATTTCAAATAGTCTCTGATTACAGGTGAATTGCAAATTTCAGGCTTTTATCTTTTATAATTCCTGAGAAAATGCCACTAAAAAGTAGCTTCATAATTCAATGTGTGGAAAAAACATACTGAAAGTGGGTCGACAGGTAATTTGGAAAAAACAAATAGATCTCAGAAAGTATTTGATATTTCATTCTTAAATCTTACAGGTTACAATTTTAAAAACTTTCGAGCAAATCAGAGATTGTTGAGAAGAAGGCACTCGACGATTTGAGATGGAATCTGGTTTTTAAAAAGTTTTAAAGCATTGCATGCACCTAAAAAATGCTTTAAAACAACTGAAGACAAAACAGGAATAAAAGGAACCACACAAATGACAAACATAAAAAAAGAACACAGAAGGAGAAATCATGCAAAACATTTCCTGTCATGTGCCAAATGGTGTGCATGCAAAACTGAAAATCAGGTGCAAAAAAAAACGTGGTGTGAAAATCACGGAAGAGAATCCAGAAAGGTTGAAGAATACACGGAACAGCAGTAAGAGGTGAAAAATGAAAAATGAAAATGAAAAATGAACAGAAATCCGTGGGTTTGGAGGAGACTTTGTGGCTCCACGCCTCCACCAGGCTTCTACTTACATCCTTGATATAATCGGGAGTTACTGCCTTGTTGTGGCAATCTATGGCACCCTCGGCTACAATAATAATGTTCAGCCTTTTCTTATCGGCACGGTTCTAGAGGGACATAGAGAAGCACAAGCATTTGAATACATGACAGAGAAAATAGTTTTGCATTGACAAAAGCTGGATCCGGACGTGGAGGATCATCTCAGAACACCAGAACAGTCCAGTGTCGGGTTGGTCGCTGGTTGGAGGCAGACGCTCACCACATTGTGGAAGAAGTTTCATACGAAGAATCTACTTGACTTGAATCTACTGAACAATTGAATCCAGTAACTGAACATGTGGAAGCCTGAGTTGTTTGATTCTAAATAAACTGAGTGTTTCTAACCAGTATCTCATTTCCTGTTTCTAACATATGAAGTCTTCTCTCCTTTTTGTTTTTTTTTTAAGAATGTTGCTGAATTACACTTTACTGCCACCAACTGGGAGGCTGTAAATTAACCTGGATCTTCTGTTTTTGAGGTTTATTGGTGGTAAACTGGTGCTTTGCCTCCACTGACTGGTTCAGTGTGGATCAGGATGTTTCATATTCACAGCTTTAGCACCAAACATTTGAGTTTCTGTCCTCTGAAGTCACAGTCGGTCAAAACTCAAACCGGATCTCCTCATAAAACATCACTGTCTGGCACCAGCAGTGTTCAAAAACTGTTCAGTGTAATAATCCACACTGATACATGTACTTGTAATTTTCTTTTATTGAAAATTACTTTCCCCTCAGCTGCTGATGCGTTTCCCAGAATGCCTTTGGATAGTCACCAGAGCATGGTGGGATTGTTGCTGCATTGCTTCTTAAATTCATTGGCTGCAGTGCATTTCTTCCCATATAACTGCTGCCAAATGGTGCAGAAACATGAAACTTCTCTGAGAATGTGGACAGTGTCTGGACTCTAACGTATCCACCAGCTGGTCCAGCTTCTGCTTCTCCTCTGGTTCCGTCTGAAGCAGAGCTCTACTCACATCTTTCACAAAATCAGATGTAATGGGTTGTCCTTGTCTGTCGATGGCTCCTTCAGCGACTATGATAATGTTCAACCTGGAGCCCCGAGATCGACTCTGGACGACAACAAACACACTGAACCACATTAAATCTACTGGACAATATTCAGTCAGTGTCCTGCAAGCGTTCTGTGTGAATGTTTCAAAGCATGAACGTCCTGAATGCTTCACACAGGATCAGCTGCCAGAGTCAGTGTTGACACAACAGGAGGAATGTGTCGGTGAGTGTGAGCAGCAGCAGCAGCCGGCTCTGTGGCGCAATGGATAGCGCATTGGACTTCTAGTCAAGCACTTGAGAAGTGATTCAAAGGTTGTGGGTTCGAGTCCCACCAGAGTCGCAGTTTTCATGCGCTTTGAAGACAAAAATCCTCCGACACACGTATCTTCTTAACGTAGGAGCTCCTCTGTTGTTGGGTTTTGTTGTTTTCTCTTTTACCAGCTCGTGCTCGGTTTCCTACAACTAACTGGATCTCTGTCTTCTTTGACGCCTTGTAAAGACTAAATCCATACTCCTGAACATGTATCTCCATCATCTACAGGCTCTTGTGGATTTAGTGTCTTCTAATGTTAGAAAGTTAAGGAGTCACGATCAGGACCGTATTTACTGCATGAATCTGAAAGCTGGGGGGCAGGGACATTTACATATGCATGAGCACATTCAAGTTGCCAAACAAGTCCACGCAAAGCCAATTGGTAAATCTCTCTTTTGCAGTGTACTGGGGTTTAAAGTTTGGTTTGTGTGGCGACACCAGCAGCAGCTGTAGCTACAAAGATGGAGCAACCTGCAGCAACTACAGCTTTGGTGAAGACTACGGTGTAAAAACCTGAGAAGTCTTCTGATGCTCCTGACACCAAAGAAACTCGGCATTCAGAGGAAGAATTTCAGTCTAAAAAAGGAAGTGATCAACCACTCGGCAGACATCATCAATACCACTCAGTGGTGTTTGAGGAATTACTGTCGCTGCCAGAACGGGGAGACAAAAGCTACACGATGCAGGATCAGTTACGAAACACCTTTTATAACAAACTTCCTCTGAGTGGTTTGACTTTCAATGAAATGTGAACAAACACTTCAGTGATTACAGTTACAGTACATTCAAGATGTTGAGCCAAACTACTGACTTCGCAATTGTTTGACAAAATTGACGGGTAGGACTTCACAGGTACCGGCTCTGTGGCGCAATGGACAGCGCATTGGACTTCTAGTCAAGCACTTGAGATGCAATTCAAAGGTTGTGGGTTCGAGTCCCACCAGAGTCGCAGTTTTCATGCACTTTGAAGACAGAAATCCTTCTACACATGTATCTTCATCATGTTCAAGCTCCTCTACTGTTGGACTTTCTTGTTGTCTCGTTTACCAGCTCGTGCTCACTTCAGTTTCCTACAAGAAACTTGATGGATGTCTTCCCCGATGTAACAGTCAAACCCACACGATTAGCTGCTGCTGCTGCTGCTTGATGTTGGCTCAGTAGTAACTTCTACTGAGGTTCATGGTGACAGTGTTACAGCACAATAAAGACGTAACTCAGCGGCTTTGGGTTTGAGTTTTTCCTTCTGCACATTGATATTTATCACCAACTCATTTGTGGTACCAACACTGCTTCTATTGTTTTAATGTTCTGAGCAGAAAACACTCAATCATTCACCATTTTTGGAATAGAAGCTAAGAACTGCAGCTGTGGTAAATGGTGTGTCGGGATTTGATATTAATGCAATGATTCAGAGCAAGTTCAAAAGCAAACTGTCTGTGTTTGCGTTACCTCAGACAGTTTCTGGCACATGCTGTCCTCCCAGCCGTCTTCAGGAGGCATTTCTGGGATGAAAACCCAGTCGGCTCCACACGCCAGGGCGCTCACCATGGCCAGATATCTGCAAAAAGACACACATTTTAATAAGTGGCTTGCACCTTACTGCTTTCTGACCCACCGTGTACACGCATGCATGGGACAATATTTCACAATTGTGCATGTTTAAGGAGAACTGACCTGATCAAAGCAGTAAATGTGCTTTACGATACCGAACATTATTTAAAATGTTGCCCACATTAAATGGTCACTGAGCCTCACCACATGCAGCAGCATATGTAATATAGAGTAGAAGTTCTTCAGTGTGTGGTGTTTTTGTGTTTTGTTTTGTTCTTTTACATCAAGAACGGTGCATACCCGCAGTGTCTGCCCATGACCTCCAGCACAAACGTCCTCTGGTGGCTGGAAAACAAAAAACAAACAATGTCAAAAACAAGAAAAAGGATCCAGCCGGTTGATCTGTTAAATCAGGTCTGCGGTTCAAACCTTTTCTTTAAACTTAATTATGTCCACACAGGACATTTCTGTGGGATGCTGTCAGCTATAAATAGATGATTCTGCAGATGGCATCTTAAAGAAAAAACTAAATCCAGTGTTGGTGTCTTGTGTGGGTCACGTCTCACAAAGCCCAGTCACACCTTTATGTCTTAAAACGTCAAGTTTGAACTCTTCTCCTTTCGTCTTGTCTTGTTACGTTTTGTGGCACCATTATGACTTTAAATGCATGTTTTCCTGCATCCTGCTTATTACATCTTCAGTTTCATTTTCTGTTTTCCTAAAGCAGCAAACCCAAATGGTGATTAAGCTGATAAAAGGCGTCTGTGGTGACATTACTGTGTAAAATCCTCCATCACCTGTCAGTTAACTAAATTAAGTTAATTAAATGCAGTAAACTCCTGCTTTACCTCCTCTCTGAAGTGATGGACTGCTTTTTTCTCTATTTATCACCTTTTTGCATTCATGTGATTTTGAACTGTCAGTGTTTGGATTTCTGGGAAGTGAGGATCAAAAACACAAGCGAACAATCAGGCGATCTGGTCGAGGGTTCTCTCAGGATTGGTTCACCTCTGAGCAGTGGTCGTGATTGCGTCCACCACCTCGATGATCCGATGCAGAGCCGAGTCGGTGCCGATGGTCATGTCTGTGCCGCAGAAGTCGTTGTCGATGGAGCCGACCATCCCGACGATGTGGAGTGTAGAGTTCTTCTGGACCGCCTCCTCATCAATCAGACCTGGAGGAACAAACTCTCTTTACACCTGTGAAGTCAGGAGTTGTAACAGAACAGAGGTTTAACTAAAGAGCAGTCACCTTGCTGCAGCAGCTCCGTCAGCAGGCCGCTCCACTCCTCCCTGAACAGGTTGGCTCCGGTCAGGCTGCCGTCTCCACCGATCACACACAGGTTGGTGATGCTGCGCTGCACCAGGTTGTGAGCGGCTTTCAGACGGCCCTCATGTGTACGAAACTCTTTACAGCGAGCACTGCCGATGACTGTACCTCCCTGAGAAAAACACAAACCACAGCATTAGGTTGCTGCTGGTTATTTAATCCACCAGATAAACTGTTTTTTTTTCCTCTGCTGCACTGAACACAATCCACTTTAGACGATCAAAGTCTGATTATAACCACAGTGAAAAGGTCTCGTTCTCTCACAGACTAATTTGGCTCAAAGCTAAAAGCTTTGTGTCACTTTCAGCGATCATCAACACAGCAGATATTTCACTGCACTGGCATAAACACTGCTGAGGTCCTCTTTCACAGAGCATTTCATTCTGCTGGAATATCAGCACCGCTCACTACATCAGCTCTATTAGTGCAAACTGGATGTTTTTCAGCATCTGAGAGGAAACGTGGACCTGAAACGGCAGCAGGACGTTCTGCTCACCACTTGCAGCATGCTGGAGACGCTTTCCCACGTCGCCTCTTTTATGTTGTCTCCGCCGTCCACCATCCCCTGGTAGCCCTGAGAGACGACAGAAAACAAAGATTCTCTGGATTCTTCATCAGACATTCACCTAAAGTCCATTTAGAACAACATATCGTGAGACAATAGCAGCAAATCACCACATTTAAGAAGCTGAAACACACAAAAGTTTGCCATTTTTTCTTGGTAAATGACCTAAATATTCAATTAATCATGAAGATAGACGTCAATTAATGTACAATTTGATTAACGAAGCAGTTAATTGACAAACTGACACAGCACTGAATATGTTTAAAGCCATATAACCAAAACTGAAGGAGAGCTTTTGCCACCAGTTCTTAGTTGACTGCTCCACTGTGAGGCCAAAATAAAAGCATCAGCTGCCGTTACTCAGAGCCGCTGGTTATTTGGAGCTGATGGTTGATGACAGAGCAGCGATTATTGAAGGATGAAGGAGGAAGTCTGCCTTTGGTAATCCAGTTACATCCACACTGAGACCAGATCACGTCTGTCAAAACTGAACGTATGTCCTCAGAACATCGATAGACTCCCAGACGAATGAGAGATTTGTTGGTGCTTCACCTCTCAGATATTACAGATATTTACTGTACAGTTTAACGTGTTCGTTTGAGTCCATTGGTTGTGTACAAGAAGCATGCAGAGTTATGTTTGATGCACGATGGAACAATCACAGAAATGTGTTAAATAATGGATTTTTACATCATGCATGTTCAAACTCTCCTCGTGATTATTTTTCTCCAGAAATTGCCAAAGGAAGCAAGAATCAACACTTGTGGGTTTAATTTGGCCCTGATGAAATTTTAAAAATGTTAAATATAGAAGATTTTTCTGAAATTGGAATTATTTTTCATAGCTAGAACTAAAAAGTGTAAAACAAGATGTTAATTTATACACCTGTGAATGCAAATGGACCGTCGTGGTGAAGAGAGAGATGGATGGATGGATGGATGGATGGATGGATGGATGGATGGATGGATGGAATGCAAACACTGATCTTATGTCTCATTGTTAATCTTAAAATACAGTCGGACCATTTATATTTAAGAAAAGTCCAACATTTCTGAGATTCAAAGGGTCAAAGTGGTTCCTTCACTGCAGTTTAAAGGAAGCATCTGTGAGTGAAAATGCACTGTGATGTGTATTATAGTGAAAAAATGACAATAAACGGTAGATGTTGTGGACAGTTTGTGCTACAGGAGAGAAGCTGTTGAGTTTAACTCTTTGTTCCTCAAAACATTTCTGGACAGTTTGTGTTGTTGTGTAGCAGGATATAGTCAGAAGCTACGCTTCAGTGTCAAAGTAAAACCCACATGAATGCAGGTTTCCCAGCATCACACTGCTACTTCCTCCTCGCTTTCTACCCACAATGCATTCAGCTGATTGTAAACTAAGCATCAGACCAGAGTGGCTTCTTCCACTGGTTTGTTCTGACACCTTCATGTCCACTGTAGCTGCTTTCAGCTCAGTCAGCATGTAACTGTCATCACTGTGTGTTTTGACACCTTTCTACTGATGTCAGCATCAAGGTTTGTGCATCAGGGGCCTTGGATTCCAGACATCCTGCTGCTGGTTCCCTGGTTTTCCTTCTCTGGACCACATTTGGTCGCTACTAATAAATGATAAACTGATAAATCCCATCTGGTGACAGGAGCTGCTGTAAGAAGAAAATCAATGCTTTCTACGTCACCGGTCACTGATTTTAATGCTGTGCTGGATCATGTTTGGTGTTAGAGCAAGCATGGAACGTTCCCACAACATTAGCTAACAACACCGAGAATAATGTTTGGAATAAAACATTTGAATCTAATGTTCTGATATTTATCATTTTAAGTAACGTTCCTATAAATGTTAGAATTAAACTGAGACAGAACGTCTTAACATTCAGACGATGTTTGGAGGATGTTGGCAATTTTTTGCGAGATGTTTTCAAGGCCTGAGACGATGAACAGCTTTATTTAGTTTTTACACTAAAAACATTTCTGGAACTTTGAAGAACTTTATCAGAACATTTTCAGAACATTTTCAGAACAAAGACGTTTGGGCTCTTTCTTCTTTTTCTGGTCCTTTTGCTGAAAAATGTGCCGAAGTTTTCTGCTTGAAAATCAAATTTGTTCTGCAAATAAAAGACAACGAGTGTTTCTGTGTGTCGGCAGTTTGAGACTAGATTTTTCCATTTTTTATGACGGCGCACGTTTTAAACATGAACATTGTCTGTGATCGGTTAGTTTACATCCCAGTTTATATCCGTGTCATCCTGTACAGACTCTATGTGAGCATATTGGATTAGTTTGGTTGAAATCTTATAAACTGACTGCACACAGAAAACACAGCTACAGAACCAAACGGAGCAATAATCAAATGAGCAAATGGAACTGTTACTTTAATGCTCAATATTCTTTGATTTTATGTTTCAAGACTTCAAAATTAAAGTTATCTGAATGACTTTTTAAAGTCACATTCAGTGGCAGACAGCAGGTACCATCAGGTGCTGCAGAGACGCTCACAGCTCAGCAAACAGACGTGTCATTGGTCATCTACCTCCCTGCTCAGTGCTACAGACTCAGCAGACTCTCCTGAGGCCTCGTCTGGAGCCTGAGCCTCGTCTCACCTCGTGGATGAAGTAGACCTTCGCTCCGACGTAGATTCCCATTCGGACGACGGCCCGGACGGCTGCATTCATACCTGGAAATCAAGATGAAAGAGTCAGCGGCCGTGATGGAAACAAACACTGTTTCAGATTTAACGGGTCTGGAAATGATCCGAGTGAATCTGTGTTTGTTTCTCCCAAAACAACCTGCAAAGACTGTTTTCCTATGAGAACACAGGAAGGTCCCTGATTTAAAGCGAGCCCCTAAAATGGGAGCAGCGGCGCTCCGGTGACAGAAACTGGTTCTGTTCAAAACCAAGTGATGAGCTGAGCAAAATTATGATGCCGATCCTGACGACAGAAAATAAGTTAATTTCCCTTTAATTCTTGCATTCTTTGACACAGAATAAGATCAGATAAGATTTTGCTCAGAAAAAAACAAAATGACACAAGATAAGAAATGTAGAGCCGAACAAGAAGGAACAACAAGATGTAAGCAGGACACATGACTGAAATAAAACAGGTAGTAAATAAGGCTAGAAGAGAAAAGAAAAGCAAAAAGTGATGCTGGGAATCACACTGAGGTGAAACCACACATGGATTTGCCATTGAAAGTGAAGTTGATGTTAAAAACAGCAGAGAGATGAAACCCAGACAGACAACAAGGTCAGAGACTCCCTGAGTGTCCCTCAGGTCACTGAGTGGAATTAGAAACAGGACTGAGAACAAACCTCAGACTGGCATCACAGTGACTCCACAGTTTGATGTGTTTAAATGAAAGCGGGGATGTCTCCATGATATTTTACTGCATTTGAACCCACATGAACCCGCCTAGACAACACAACTATGACTGGAAGGAGAGAGAACTCAGAAATGACTTCTGATCAGTACGACATCACTACATTATGCTGGAAATTATTAGAAAAGAAAAAAGAAAAAGCAAAAATCAGTTATTTCTTGGCTTATATTATAAAAACTGAAGAAAAAAAATCAACATGTGCAAAATTTTTCCAACTTCCAGAATATTTTTGGAGCTGTTGTAACAGTGAACTTTCCCCACTGTGGGATCAATAAAGTTATCTTTATCTTTATCTTTATCTTTATCTTTTTTTCATTTTCCAAAAATGATGTCTGCATACTCCAGATATTTACCTGTTTACATGTAGTTTGTTTCATACTTGTCTCATCACCACTTTATGTGAACACTGCCTGCAGTTGAACCAAACAGCTGCTGAAGTTTTGTCACATGTTGGCTGCAGCTGAGTCACTAAACGCTTCATGACTGAACTGATTGAACTGATTGAACTGATTGAACTGATTGAACTGATTGAACTGTGGAGTGCAGAATCTCTTTTGTTAACATTTCATTTTTAAATGAGATATGTCGAATGAAATGATTTTGATGAAATATATCAAGATTTTTATGCTTCATTGTGGTTTCGTTTTGGTTCAAGCGATGCTTCTTTCTGTCTTTACAGTTTGATAAATGGTTTTGCATATTTTTTTATCGATAAAACGCCTTTCAAACCCATCAGCTGTGATAAAACTTTTCTGATCCAATCAGAAACATTGGATCAATAAGCAAAGGCAGCAAAAACAATCTGAGGTTTCTTGGCAATGATGTAAGTTATCAGTTCATCTCTGACTTTTTTCTTCAGTGAATTATTTAATAACCTGTCATTCTATTACATGAACAAAAATGTTTTAAATATATATTATAAGAAATAAAGCAGAAAAAAGCAGCAAATTCCCACATTTCAGAAGCCAGAACTGGATGATGTGTGGAATATGTACATCATTAAAATCTTCAATGATTAACTGATTGTAAAAGTTTTCTTTGAATCAACCTACAGCACAAACAAAACGAAACTAGCTCCAAGAGATTACATGTGACTGTTAGAAAGAGCAGCTCACTACGAATTATCTCCCTAATTATGACAGGCGGCGGTGTGACGGGCTCGCTGGATCTTGCTGAGTTGGTTCTGTGCAGCCAAGCTCTGAGCTCAGCAGGCTCAAGCTGCCCCTCGCAGCCGGATCCACTCTGCGGCCAGACTTCCCTCCCAGACCTCCTGCTGTTAACGTTCACCGGCCTGCAGAATGTGGATGTGGCTACTTCTTGGAGGATGCAGTGTTCAGGCATCACTACGAGAGTTCATCTCAGAGGCTGGTGGAGCAGAGGGACCACAAAAATAAAGAAAAGGACAAAAAACCAACCGTTATCTTGCAAAAAGAAAGTGTTGAAAAGTTGAACCTGAACTGAACTGTTGCCACACACTCCGGTTTTCCACCACAACCAATCAAACATGTGTAACCACACATTCCTGATAGACTAGGATGTGATTTAAACAATGTACTTCTGCTGTTTATCTTGTTTAAATAGCAGCAGGAAATCCTGAGTGAGGCTTCACACACTTTCCCATTCACTGCAAACGTCCATGTGTAAAAACAGAATATGTAGTCTCAGGCAAGCAGCACTGAGGGTTCTGAAAAGGTTCCACGAGAACCAAGTAGTCAGAAAACTAGAAATCTGCTCCATAAGGAGATAAAAAGAATAAAAATATCCTCCAAAAGTTGCTTATGAGTTTGTCAAATAATCAGTTAAGCAGGTCTGCAAATACAAATTCTGTCTGACATTTTTTAAAAGCAGAAATATGAACAGAACTGTATCCATCGTTTCTTGACAACAATCAGGATGGAACCTCATTTTTACAAGTATTTGTAGTGATTCATATCCGTACGTCTCTGGTGATATTCAGCTTTAAACATCCCTTCAGCAGAACTCCAGCTGACCTCCAGGCAGCAGCTGTAACACTTCATATCGAGCAGATGCACCGACGTCGGGATTTCCTTCACAGCACCAAGGCCTGGATGTGACTTCCGGCTATTAGCTGAATGCTAACGGCTAGTGTTGCTAAGAGACCACAACAGTGCTGATTGGTTGGAGGGATCTGCCTTAACATGCCAATGGGATTTAATTGCATTTTTAATATTAACTGTGAGAAATGAATAACTAATTGACAGACGACGGTAATCAACCAAACAAAAACATCTTATTTATTGTCTTACAGCTGCTTTGTGTCTTTATTTGTGTTTTTTTCAGATGAACTCTGAGGTTTAGTCCCAAATCATGAAGCGCTGTGAGTTTTCCCCTCCAGCCTGCTGCAGTGAATAAATATGTCTGGTTGATTGTGTGCAGATAAACGTAGGCCTCAGTGTTGGAAAACTTGGGAATCATTTTTCACCTCATGCAGCACTGGTGCTCCTGCAGGTGCTGAAAATCCTGTAAAGTCTGTGATATAAAACGCTGAAAAGGGAGATTTGGTGAAACATCAGTTGTGTGGAAATATTTTGGCGACAAAAATGATGGCGTCGACCAAAAACAAGAACTCTGTCTGCAGTGTCTTGGAGCTAAACAATTAATAAGTTTGACTTTTTAAATCAGCCCTGCAAAGACAAATGTGAATGCAATCCAAAGCAGACAAAACTGTTTCCGATGCCTTATGTTTTAGATTTTTCATTATTGAGGCAGATGCACTCCTGTAGAGAGTTCCCACAATCACTCTGTCATCATTCGCTCTTTCCAAATAGACAAAATGACGCCATTATTTCATATTGCAACAGAAAAATGCAGAAAATACTGCAGTTTCTCCCAGTATGGTGGAGCCTGATCTGGTCTCTTACATATCTTAAACACATTGTTAAGCTTTTGAACTGAACTCTACTCCAGACTATCTGTCAGCGGCTTCAGATGCAGAACTTTCCTCCTTCTCAGCGAGTTTAATTTGACTCCATATCAGAAAACACATCTCACCTCCTGTGTCTGACTCTGTGCATCATTCTCACTCGTGCTGCACGTTTCACTTTGTAGTTATAATTAAATCTCAGCTGCTGCCGGTTACAGGAACATATGTTGGTACCCGTTGTTACCATAATGCTTGACTCTGACATGCAGCATGGAGGAGCTGCATTCAGCAGATCAGTGCACTTTGACTGCCTCCTATGGAGACACTGTGTTATGTAACAGCAGCAGCAGTGGTCCTTGGACTGCACATACACGACATGTACATGTTCCAATGCTGATAAGCCACAGAGGGCTCATGTACATGCGGAGGGTTCATGTGCACCATGTGAACACTAAAGGAATGATTTGAGTTATTTAAAAAAAAAAAATTCACATCTTTGTTCTCTGTGGAGACATTTTATGGCTGATTGTTTTAATCACATCGTAAAATCTCATTTCAAGTATAAAATGACACTAAATCCGCATTTGTTCCTCTTTTCCTTCCTCTCATCACACATCCCTGCTTACTCGCCTCTCCTCACGTACGCCCCACATCCCTGCGCCACCATCCGCCTAAAAATAGACAGGAAGTCACCGCGAATCTCCTTCAAAACAAAAGCTCCTCGGCGCAAACTGGAGCAATCGCGTTTTATTGCTAAAGGACAAACCGGAAGTGCGTTATTTTCAGGCGGCAGCTCGACGTTGGTCCTCTCACGACTCGTTCTCTGCGATGCGGGACACGTGTTTACGCATCTACTGTCATGTACGAGGTTTATTCCACAAAGTCACCAAATAATTACAGCTGCAAATAAACGAGATGTGATTCTGTGAAGGAAGCTTTTAGCAGCTCAGATGTCTGCTGAGCTGATGTGGACATTTGGGATCCTTCATATAAAAAGGAAGAAAATGTACATGATGAGGACAAACAGTTCTCAGTGAATGTAAATCCAATCCTGTGGGCCTTCAGCCTCCACACTGGCTGCTGCTCCCTCCTGGCTGGATACTATCAGATCAATGTGGGTTAATGATTAGATTATATGACCCGGGGATGCGCACAGGGACCAACACAAACCTGCGGCTCTTCGCCACCCTCAAGGTGCAGGTGATGAAAGATGCATGAAGACGAAAGGAGATCATCTGTAACTGTAGCACCTGTTGATGCTGGTGCAGATTTTAAAAGTAGGCAGAAGCTCCTGATGGAGGCTGAACAGGTGTCACTGCAACTTCACCTCCAGCACTGCAGCATCCAGGCGTTTCAAGCAGATGTGAGGAACAAGCTGCTGCGCAACAGTCACTGAGGTTTGTTAAAAAAACTATATGAGAAGTTGAAAAAAAGAAAATATATTTATGTAGCTATGGCGGAAATTATATATATATCTTTTTTTGTTTGTTTTTCTTGACAAGGCTGCTCAACAGGAGGGTTTTCGCACCAGCGTGCAGCTATGCGTCCATTATCGGACACATCTTCATCTATTGCTGTAACTAAGAATCTGCAGCTAATATCAAAAATATCTTCAACAAATACGATCAGTGCAGATTTTCCAAAAGCTAGACTGTAAACGGAACTGAGAGCTGATGTGAACTTGCACTGCCAAACTGCACCTTTAAGAAAAGAAGCGCAACTATTGCAGGTGAGGTGAAGCAATAACGGCTCCGAGAACACGGTTTGAGACAACAGCTGATTGTTTCTGTTTCCTGTTTGTTCTTTTGCAGCATTTTCAGGTTAAATTTGTGGATTGGTGAGAGTCAGCAAGCCCTGTCCGATAATGGAACCGCTCTGCCTTACCTTGCGCATCTCCTCCGCTGGTTAGCACCGCGATGCATTTACCAGCACCGGACAGATTCTCGAAAAATTTCTTGGTGTCCTGCCGTTTCGGTGCGCCGGCCATGTCTGTGTACCTGGCACCTGCCGAGATGACAAATAGAGAAATAGACGGTTGTTCCAGCGGCCTGCAGTGACGAGCGCAGACTGTGTGGATGTGAGAGGCTGAGGCTCAGGAGTAGGACTGCAGCGGTCACCGCCCTCCTGCTGCTCGGACACACCCCCACTCAGAGATCCTGCGTCCGGACAGAGGACTCACCACATGCACACATTTACAACATGTTTCCTCAGCAGTGAGCAGCAGCACTGTGACATGATTCTGTTTTCATATGTGCAGGGAAGTTAAGATAAATGCGCAGTGAAGCTTTGCAATAAATATCTTTCCAGGGAACACTTAAAATAACCCAAAACTACAGTGAATGTGCTGCTGAAACGAAATTTTGATGAATAATAAAAAAAAGAAGTTCAAATTGGTTTGATGTCATAAAAGTGACACAAAAAAGTCTCTTGATCCCAAATCAAAGTGAAGCTACAGCGTTCTGACAGTAAAAACGTGAAGCTTGTGAAAAAAAACAAATATTTGCTGCTTGGTGTCATTTTGTTGGGATGTAACTGTGCATCAGAACAGCTAAGAATCAGTTCTGAACTCCTTCTGACTCTCAGGTTTTACTTACATTTGACAGCAGGCTCATCTTCCAGCCAAAGGTTTCATCTGAGCCTCATGCAACAGTCTGACTGCTAGGGCTGGTTCTGACCCGTCCCCCCACTGGAGTATGAGCCCTGAAGCTTCACCCAAAATGCACTTTTTAAACTTTTCTCTGAGTAATTACAAACTCATAACAACATGTCCAAAGCTTGTTTCACAGACATTCAACATGTGCAGCTGTACTGTTGAAGCTCTGATACATCCCATCACCTTGATTCTGAAAGCTGCTTATTTGTACGGAACAAAAAACAATGTTTTCTTTAGGAAGTGAAACTCGGAGTGAAAGTAAAATTAATTTTCACTGTTTAACAGAGCTTACGAGTGTTGTTCAGCCCTGAAAGTGGAAGTTATGAGGGCTCAAAACTGATGGAGAAAGAAAAGTGAATTGTCTCCGTGCTTCACTGTCAGGACAATGCATCCACTGTGGTGGCCCGGGCCCGGTTCATGCCCACAAAGCTGGGCTCCATCTTCGTCTAAAGTCTTGACCATCATCTAAAGACGGACTTCTAATGTTCATCAGGCTTTTTTCATGTTTTAAGTTGAATCTTGTAATTTTGTGCCAAAGCACAAGCTGGTTATACAACATACTGATCAGCCCTGTGCCAAGTCAGAGGCAAACATGAGTCTGTCAGAGTTGTATTGTGAAAGCAGCACACTGTCCACGGCGTGATTTCAGGAAGATGACCACTGCAGCCCTGATTAGTGATGCTAGTTTTATAACCATGTTCATGTAGTCAAGCTATTTGGAAACAACTGGTGAACTCAGTTTAGTTTCAGTGATCACAGCAGTGGTTTCTCTCTTTTTGCATCACATTTATATTTGAGGCTTGAATTTTCTGAATAATCTTAACAAAGTATTTTGATTGTTCATGAGAGGAAATACTCGTCATGTCGACTTATAATGTCGTCACTGAGAGGAGACACAACTTTGAATCACAAAATCATTGAATTGACATGGAAGTGACATTCCACAGCGGTGGACTTACTTCTGTTGTAAACTGTAGTTCTTGACAGAGTTTCCACAAAGCATCTGTCTCCTGCAACAAACAGGATCCTGGAGGGCTTTGAAAGAAGAGAGACCACACTGTAAGCAACACTTTGTTAAACACACCTCTTCCTGTTAGCTGACCATAGAGTCATGAAAACAATGTTTACTGAGGTTACACAGGTTCTATATAATCAAAATTATTTTTGCAACTGGAACTCGCAGCTAGAAGGTCACCGGTTCACATCCCGGTGAGGACACCCGGGATCTTCCTGCGTGGAGTCTCCATGTTCTCCCCGTGCAGCGTGGGTTCTCTCCGGGTTCTCCGGCTTCCTCCCACAGTCCAGAAACATGCTGAGGTTAATTGGTGATTGTAAATTGTCCGTAGGTGTGAATGTGAGTGTGCTTGGTTGTCTGTCTCTAAGTGTAGCCCTGTGATAGACTGGTTACCTGTCCAGGTGAACCTGCCTTCACCCTGAGTCAGCTGGGATAGACTCCAGCCCCCCATGACCCTGGTGAGGATGAAGGTGTAGAGATGATGGATGGATGGATTCATTGTGACCTGCCCAGAGACTGCAGATAGAAATGAGCTGAAGCCAACTCTGGTGCAAAACATCAAACATTTATGTTTAACGTTGTACGTGGTTCCTTTTTAAATAAACTGATTAATAAAAAAATAATAATTAAACAAACACTAATTGAAATTCTGACTATAAAAAGCTGATTTATTATATCAGTAATGTGGGGCCATATGTTTTACATCCAGCTCCCATGTTATGGGCCAGAGAAGCCTTCAGAGTGAGACATCTTCACTGTTTCCATCTTTCTTTGGTTCTCACGACCTGAGCCTGGAAACCAAGTCAAAGCTAGAGAGCCAATGACGGAGGAGTCCCTCTGATTGACAGCTGAACCCACCAATGAGCACACAGATCACGTACAGTGGAAAACTCCAACCAATCACAACAGAGCCTGTGGTGCTTCTGTCAGGAAGTGACACACTTCCACCAACAATTCATAAGTTTCTTTTCTAATATAAACACCAGAAAGTGAATGAGCGTTGCAACAGCATGAGAAGTTGACACAGTGATTAGATTAGCATTCAGCAGATTGTTTCATGAAATGTTGAACTTGTGTTGCTAAAGAAGTGTTGATAGAAAAACCTCAGACATCTACATGTTTTATGGGAACTTCCAGCATCTGTAGTGTTTTTATGTGTATTTTTTAAAATCTTTTCTGAATCCAAAGTTTAAATATTTGCATGTAACCGTAAGAATACTGCAGTTATACTTTCACTCCAAGTGAGACAGAATCAGTGACCTTAGATGAAGTTCATGACCTTCAGGGACACTTTACGTGCAGCTTTATCTCCGCCACTATGTCTGGTCAAGCGTCGCATGACAGTTCAAATTTGTCGTCGCCCTGCAGCTGCTGTGTTTCCTAATAATGTGTTCATGACAAAAAGGTTTATCTGGGAGCTACCTGGAGCAGTTTTCATAACTTGGCTGGCAGACGGCGGCGCTGCTGTGTGATTAGATTTGAAGGGCCACGCAGAGGGCATCGGACTGACGCAATAAACTCAGCAAAAGTTCGGCCTGTGTGGTCTTGTGACATTTTTTTCCTGTTCCTAACTTCTTCAAATGGGATTTTAGGCTTCAGAAAAAGGAACTATTTCAACAGCACATGAGTTTGGGTGTCATGAGGTATCACACACCCCAAGAGCTTCTCATTTTTCATTAGAGATTTCAGAAATATCTGCAGTGAGGATGAAAGAAATATTGAATGCATCTGTTCCCAACCGCTAAAGCTAACAACCTCTCATTTTTATAAATATTACTCTACAATGCTTTCTGCTATATTTGATATTATTAGAATCTTGTGAAATCCAGCTAGAACCTAGAAATAAAGGTTTCAAGTTTGAATACTGTCTGACTTGGATCACTTGGATTAAAGAGGCTAAAGGATGGAATTTATCTAGAATACCAAAAAGTGTTGATGTTTATGGAGCAAAGTTTTGGGATCAGGAGACATTCAACAGCAAATGGATGTTTTTCAAAACATGTACCTCACATACAGCATTTTTTTAGGCAATATATAGACAAGCAAGTAGTCTATGGCATCTTAAAAGGATTTCTTCCATGTGATTGGAAGTTATTAATGTTTTACCAAAGTATTTAAAAATACCACTTTGAAGCTTGGACAAAATGTAATTCAACAAATGGGAAATGTCGACCCCTGCTGGTGAATAAAAAGCACTGCACAAGTGAATTTATTTTATTTTATTTTAACCACTCTGACTTTGTGACTTTATGTCTGGATAATAAGCCTTTAATTCAGCTGACTGAATGAATTATCATTCAAATAAAACACAGACGCGGTTCGTCTCAATAAAAATAATTTATTTACAGTGGCATGAATCATAAATTAACAAGCAGCATTGGCAAAAGCAACATTAGAGTCGACAGCTTGCATAAAGGGTGTGAATGTCCGGACGTCTGCATAATGAAACACTCACACTGAAGAAACTGAATGTACTGGACTGTGTCACCGCTGAGACGTTTAATATGAACATCACGGCAGAGAGGATACTTCAAATAAAAACAAAAAATAAAAAAAAACCTCTTAAACTGCAAGTCTGTGAACACCGACGCTCTCATATTGCTCTGATTCATCAGTTTACCATCAAACACATTTTACAGGTGGAAAACAAACTCCAGAGTTTTATGTACATTGGCTTCCCTCAACAGAAATGATTCTAAAAGGGCCAAAAAGTATATTTATATGAAAAAACTAAAAAGAACTAAAGTCTACAAGTTGTGATTTTGGGTCCAGATGCTGCTGTGATGCAGCATCAGAACAAGAACTTCCTCCTTGTGTTGCTGTTTTATGCAGATCAGGATCAGCAGCAGGATCTTAAAGCCACTTAAAGTTGGATTTAAACATTTCTGACTTTTGAAAATTCAGGGACACTTAATCCTTAAAGCTGGCAAAAGTATTTCTGCAGATTTTGGTGATGATCAAATAAAATCTGATCAAACTGGCTTTGAATAAGAGAAATGAGATGAGCTGAAGTCAAATAAGAACAATATTGTCAAAATGATCTTCATCTTGTGAACAAGAAAACAAACCTTGATGGCATTTTGTGTTTTTAGAACAGACTTGGGCCTCAGTGAGACTTTCATTTTATTTGGATATTTCCAAAGCACTGAGGATTAAAATCTGTCACATATTTAATCAGATACTTCCTGGAATCGGATCAGAATTTAGCAGATTTTGCACTAAATGATTTCATAGAACTGTGTTTAAACCATTTTTAACATTTAGAAATGTTGGCGTTTTGCTCGGTGGAAAAAGGAAAGTTAAATAAATCCGTATT